TGCTGTGGTTATGATGAAAAGTAGTGATCAAAAGAAGAGGGGAAAAAATTCGATTACGGCGGCGCCCATTCACAGATGCATGGGCACCACAGTGCATGCACAGAGGCCGATTTCTCTGTCATCCAACCTTTGCAAACTCATGGAGCGCATAGTCACCGCCCGCCTGTCATGGATCCTCGAGTCAACGGGGGCCTTCCATCCCATGCAAACGGGTTTTAGACCCCACCTCTCAACACAGGACAGTTTTCTCAAGATTCACCATGACCTCTAATAGCACGGGCTCTTCAAAAGCCAGCCCCGTACGCTCGTGGCCATGAACCTACGAAAGGCGTTTGATTCAATTCCGCATAGCACCATTGTGTCTGCCGCCAAGAGGATAGGTGTTCAAGGCCGCTTGTTGAACTTCATCAAGACGTTTCTACAAAATCGCACATTCCAGGTCTCTATCGGTCAAACTAAAGGCCGGTGGAGAACAAATAACATCGGAGTCCCACAGGGGGCGGTCTTGTCCCCACTTCTGTTCAATCTCGCCATGGTGGACCTCGCTCTCGCCCTTGAAGCCGTCCCGGAAGTTCGTTTTACAATCTAAGCGGACGATGTTACATTGTAGACGACTGCAGGTGGGGCGAAGAGCCAGCAGAACAACATGCAAAGGGCGCTAAACATTGTCACAACCTTCACCCTTAAGTCAGGCCTCGAATTATCGAAGGAGGAGACAACATATATGGTAATCCCCTGCCGACGCCGAAGCGCCCGAACAGACATTGAACTGCTGCTGGATGGAATTGCCGCAACCCCAACCAACTCCGTCAAAATTCTAGGGGTTATATTTGAAACCAAGGGCGGCGCCGTTACCTGGCTCAGACAAGTAAAGCCGCAATGGAAGGACGGCACAGAGCTACTGAAGGCTATCTCGAGCGAAACCTGGGGGGCGCAGGAAGACCTCCTCCGACGACTCGTTCGCACCATCCTTACCTCTAAGGCTGTGTACGGACTGAATTACCTTCGTCTTACAAAGAACCAAGAAATGACACTTGTAACCATGATGCGAGCGGCCATGCGGGTCGTAACAGGGCTGCCCCGCTTCACACCGGCTGACCAGCTCGAGCGTATCTCACAAATGAGCACCATCGGGGAGATTTCCGATGAGATGCGGATCAGCCAGGCTTGTCGACTGTCTCGCACTCCTCACGGTCGAATTATTCTCACATCGAGTGGACGCACCAACCTTATCGAAGGCCCACTAATACCTACGCCGACTCCACCCTGGGATGCGGAAGTAGTCGCACCTGTCAAGCCCCTCCCCAGTCATCAAAGACTTGAGAATCCCGGTCGACGAGCCACGCAAGCAGCTATTCACCGCAGTGAAATCAAAAAGCTTGCCGCTCATGTAGAAGTCTTCTACACCGACGCGGCGAGAGACGATAGCGGTCGCACTGGGATTGCATGGCACTCTCCTACTCGCAACTAGACGAGCCATCAACTCACATCAAACACAAAGAGCACTTGCATGGCGGAACTCTTTGCTATTATGTTCGCCGGTGAGACTGCCACGACCACTTTAATACTAGAAATAAGATAAACACGTATATACACCGACTCTCAAGAAGCGGTGCGCGCACTTCGGCGCTCGAGCACATGCACTGCTACAGTTGCGCCAATCCGAGAACTTGTTCGCCAGGACGAGACCCGACAGACGATCATCATCGCGTGGATACCAGGCCACGCAGACATCCCGGGGAACGAGAGGGCGAACGGGGCCATAAGGGCACTAAAAGAGGAAAGTATTCAGCCCTCACGAGGCCCGGTCCTCTTACCTGTTCAACGGGATGTCCCACCCGACGAAGACTATGACCCATCTGAGTCGAAGAACTAGGAAAAGAAAGCCCGAAAAAAACGTCTCTCGGCGCTCCTACCTTCCAACCCCCACCCAATCCCACGAGGGCTTCCACGATGGGAGCAAGTGGCCTTGCACAGACTACAGAGTCGCAGCATGGGGACCCCCGTTTGGCGGGCCAGGTTCCACAGATCAACGGACCAGCAGGACACAGGCCCTGACCCAAATTGCATGCACTGTGGCGTCCCCGCGACTTGCCATCACCTGGGCCCGTTTTCTCGAACGCGAACCGTGGGTTAAAGTTAACTATTGTCCCTAGAAGGGGGAATTCTAGGTCACGTGACTGGAAGAGCAGTGGCGCCGAGGGAGGAGCAGTACCTACAAGCAAAATGGCCGCGGCGTCGCTTAAGGAGGGCTAATAGTTCTGCTTGGTTCTGTTGAACATTCATTTCGATCCGGCTGTTATATTAATGACGCGCCATCAACCTATTAGCACGTCAAGCAAAGCGGTAGTTCAGATAGACTACTAAACTAACCGACGGCAGCATTCCGCGAAGGCATCACTCTTCAGCAGTCCGGGATCCAAGACATATGACGGTACATAAGCCTTGCAAATGTTTTCATGGTGAGTAAAAAAATGTTTTGCGAACGAGTGTTGGTATATATTTATTCTAACACGTTTAATTTGTTACACTACGCACGCCAATTCGTGAGCAGCGATTACTTTGCAGAGAAAGGGGGTTATCTTTGATAAAGTCTTCGTTTCGGGTGAACAGCTGGGACATTGTACTGTTTTTTGTTCGCAGTGCGCCGACAGTATACCGACAGCATCGAGGTTTCTGCCTATCCCCGGTGGCCAGCAATTCAACGGTGACTAGAAGCTTAGCTTCTCGTCACCGGTGGATCGGTTGGACAAACGGAAGAGGGGGCAAACAGTTGAGATCAGCAGAAATCGCAGAAACGTGCGTCTCAAGGAACAAAACCGAGACTACAGCACCGGCGTTGCCAGACTGGAAGGAACAGGGGAAAGTTATGCGTTGTTTATGGCGAAACATATTGAAGGAAATGTTTCTTACATTTTCGAATATTCGTCGACAAACTCTAGCATAGTAGCTAAAATTTCTTCGCACCATCAGAAGCAAATAAATTGGGGTCAAGTACAACATTACTATATTTTGAGTTAAAATACCATACTAGATCGATAACAACCAGCGGAAAAAGAGGATAAACAAAATGACTGGCTTGCTTCACCTATAGATGGCGCACCTTATTCCCCAATCAAAAATAATTATTGTTGCTCTATATCCAGCCGTTTATTACAGTACCTAGGTACTTTTTCCTTCCTAGGCACCGTGGTTTACCAAAATGGGTTTACCACCGCTTCGAGAAAACCGGCCCTGGTATGATCAGGTCCGGGGACATCTCGTGAACGGGTGGCAACGATCAACAGTCTACCGCCGCCCTTCCGACCGACGACCCTACGGGAATGAACACACCCAAGGACGTCAGCACCTGCTGACCGAACACTAGCATTTCCATCGATTATTTCCTACGTCCGATCCTCCGGCACTGGACGGTACATCTAACCGATCGTCATCGCTAAATCCCCCTTTCCCCTGCCCTGTGCCATATGATGCCCAATAGGCCAGCGTATGGTTCACATAGTAAACGTTTCAATCAATCAATCAGATGCAGCAAAGCGTCTATAGTTATTTTACACATTACCGTTTGTGTGAAGTGAGAAACCTTCCGTCCCAATATTGTAGCACGGCCTTTCACACGGCTGGAACATATCTCAAAAATAAGATCTGTGTAACAAAACAAAACAAAAATCACGCAACCTTTGCGTCTTGACGGACGAGTATGCACGTCCCCACACATCAAGAACGTTAAACGTTGAGCTCCATGATTACCGAGAACCGAGGAGAGGACGGCGATTCTCGGTACATAGGTTCGGTTGCTGCTCTCTCAACGTGAGCTACGGGACAGGATCATGCAGCATGTTTCCAACGCATTCGACGCCCTTTTTACGATATAGTGCACAGTCGACGCTTGGTTAAAATTACTTATATTGGGATGGCATATGTTACAAATGATAACAGCAGTCTGTATTTTGCCTATTGTTATAAAGAAACAGGGTAAGCAAAGCGTATCTCGTTCGAATGTCCACCCTCCCACAGGGGGTAATTTCCTGCTGGTATGCTTTGGCCACGCGTGCACGGTCCAAGCTCATGATCGACGCTGAAGTGTCATAAAAAATAGAGAGCTCGTGCTAAAGCAGGGCAACTGAGAAACCTTCCTGGCGTGTATCTCCGCGTACAATCGGCTCAAACACTTTGTCCGAAGTCTGGGACTTCAACTTCACATTCCACGCCTCGACCGGACCACAGCTCCCTCAAAGACTGGCAGGCACTTCAAAGTAGCATGAGGGACTTTTCCAGCCTCATATCTTTTGCAAAGTAAATATATAAAATATGCGGGCAAAGCATAATCGAAATGCAGAATGCAATCAAAAACGTTAGAGACTAAGCAAGCTCACATATCATTTGAATGTGTATTTTACGGATTCAATTGCCACAAGAATACTTAGTCTACTAATTTCCAAATCGCTCTAAACGAACTAATTTTCTGTTATGCACAATAATAAAGTGTCGGGTAAGCGTGTTTTCTTACCGCAAATATAAACTGCTTATTGCCAGTTGCTCCGTCACCGCCGAAATATGGCGCTAACGGTTCGGTTTAGAGCCAAATTTTCGAAAACTTATCGTAAAGAGTTATAGCGGTACAGAAGCTTTCAATGGGAAAACGACACCCAATTTTTGGTCGCAGACGTCCTTTAAGTCCACGTATTTGTGGGGTTCGTTGGCGCCATTTTTACCTTGAAACATTTTGAAAATCGCTTATAACTTTAAATTAATGACGTTAAGGTCTGACACTTTGGCACCTGATCCGGACTCCTAGCGCTACATTTGGGCTGAGAGGAAATGTTCGGCAACGCGTAAAACGTTTTTTTTTTCTTTTTCTTCTTTTTCTTTTTTTTTTTGGGGGGGGGGGGGGAGCGAAAAAAAACAGTTTCGTTTACTCCCAAACATCTTCAATTTTCCGATTGCACTGGCACTCTTCTAGCTACCACGTATATGTTCTGACGTCCGATTCCAGACGCCTACCACATAAGGAGGCGGCACCTGGGAGTCCCGGCAGGCCGCTTGGGACAGTTGAAAGCTCTGCGGAACTCGTCAAATTGTTGCACCACCACGTTGCAGCGATGGTCGCGGCGCGGAATCTTTGACGGGACATAGCTGTCGATGGAAGCCCTGCTTCCGCAGAAACTCATACAGTAGCTGACGAAAAGAAGCTTCTGCTGGCTGAGGCCGGGTATCCGGGACGGGTTGGTCGGCACGTAGCACGAGTCATTCTTGATGCCCTCCAGCAGCAACTCCAGGCCGCCGATGTCCGCCATGTTCTCGTCACGTGCAATGTCGGCGTACACCTTAGTGCCTCGCGAGGGGATGAGGTTGTCGTACAGGTTCCGCATACAGGCGATGCGAAGTGCGTATTCCGAATAGAAGTCGTAAGGCCAGTACTGGAGGAGCCCGACGTCGCTTTTTTCGACGTTTGCGCTGTAGAGAAACAAACAAACGGTGGGGCGGAACAGCTTAGGGAGATTGCAGTATTTAATGCATACTCATGGCACGCGCCAAACATCTTTTTCTCCTTTCCGTTCTGTCTTTTTTTTTTCGAAATTTAAACGTTAAGCATGGTCACGCTAAGCCACATGGGCGTGAAGATGAACAGTAAGATGAAGGGTTAGAAGCGGAGGGGATAAGAGGATGTTACAGTCCGGTTCCCGAAACAATTTACCAAAAGAAGATACTCTAGCCTTTGTATCTCGCAGAAAAACATCATTTTATGACTGAAAAAAAGAAAAAAAGTCATAAATTATTTTTGCTCGATCGTGAATATGGGTGAAAAAGCTAGCGTCGCAACTTCACATTGGTGCGCCTTTGATTTGAAAACAATGTTGGTTGTCAAATGGTTACAGATTGGCAAATGGTACTTGCCTAGGAGAAAACTGTATGTCTATTACCCATAAAAAGCACCCCTCACTTTAAACATACCACATAGGTAACCAAGCACTGATCCGTGTTAATGAATATAATTATTTAGGACTACATATAACACAATTTAAAATGGGATAAACATATCACCGCGGTTATAGACAAAGCATCTAGAAAACTACGCAAATTACGGCAGGCAGCTCCAGATATGAAACTATTGTCGTACAAAACTTTTGTTCTTCCTATCTTGGAATACGCGAGTGTTATATGGGACACTTACACAAAAGAAGGCATCAATAGGCTGGAAATGGTACAAAAAAAAAAAGCGGTTCGATTCATCTACGGGGTATATAACAGGCATGCTTCAGTTAGTGAGTTACTTAATGAAGCACAACTATCAACCCTTAGCACGAGAAATATTATTAACAGATTGAAACTGCTCTTCCAGATAATTCATGGCATGATCAACATCAATCGGGTCAAGTATATATCATTTTCTGCACGCTCCAATATACGTAGCTTTCATCCCTATTATATCATTGAGCCGTTGCTGCGAAATAATGTTTCCCAATACTCATTTTTTTCCTCGCACTTTCAAAGATTGGAATAACTTACCCGCTGAAATAACGAGCTCTAGTTCCATAATTTCATTTCTTGATTATGTACGAGAACATTTCAATGTTGAGTGAAGATTTTGTTTGTATTTGCTTGCGTGTTTTTCCTTCCGTGACATATTAGTGTCATTTGGTTCTTGTGTTTGTTTGTTTTGTTTGTTTGTTTGATGACGATTTTGTAACCTCATGAATGTAACCATTCCTACAATAGTCCTGAACAAGGACCAGTAGTATAAATAAGTAAAAATAGATAAATAAACAAATAAAATAAAACGCAACAAACTAGGTGAAATGACTCATTATTTTTCCACTTTCCCCCCAGCACTCTAAAGGCTGGTTCATATATCTGCGTTATGAGTAGAGCTGACTACCTTACGGCGGCTTTCGACTGCTGAGGGTGGGGCGATGCCATTTCTGGCCATGACAACCGACAGCTGCGTGCGAGATGCACCGCGTATCACGTCTACTACTACTACGAGTAGTAGTAGTAGTCGACGCCATGCAACGCAGTCAACGGAGCAGTCTAAAGCAGTCTTGAGGAATTAGGCAGTTTGCAGATCGTGCTCTATCTCCGCCACCCTGGAGGATGGCACGATATGTTTGGTGTACTTATGTAAGTGAATCAGCATAACTAGTGTTGTTATATTTAATTATGCGGATGATACAGTTCCATTATTATCAGACGACAACATGGCGAGCCGTCCCCCGCCTTCAGAGGGATGTATATCCGATAACGTTATGCGTTTTTTTTTTTTTCTGTAGTCACTGAGAGTTTAAGAAACAATTAAGGGGCTTGCCGCCGTGTTGGAATAATTCAAACAAGCGCGAATATTCGGGCTTTTATATAGAAAACAAAATTGCATAGCTGCGTGTTGATCGCGTGAGAATATGCGGAGCGCAAATTCGTCTGCTTCTTGGAAGGGGTTGCGGTGACGTCAAAACGCCGAGCTCTGATTGCCTTCGACTGAAAGGATAGTGTATAGACACCAAGCCAGCTATACCATTGAGGTCAACCCAGCTATAGCATTGAGGTCAACCCCCTATATTTCTCATCAAAGCTAATCAGAGCTCGGCGTGTACAGGCGTCACTGCAACTCCTGCACAAGAAGCCGACGCACTTACGCTCCGTACTGACATCTTGCATATTTGCATACGTTTCTTTCTTAGTCGACTGTTAATCTCGCAGGTGACGGCTGCGAACTCGGAGGTGAAGCTCATTTGACTGACTTCCACGCTAATTCACTCCACCGCATTGTGTCGTTGTCCATGGTTATTATGACAACATGCAACAAAGCTACTAGTTAACCACATTTATCATTACAACTACAGCCCTCTGGTGTATGTATGTTTGTCTTGCAAGTAGCGTCAATAGGGCCAAAGCAGGAGGTACATGCCTCGTGCAGCTCTTGAAAGCGTATGGCGGTGCAGGAGTGAAATGAGCGGCCCTTGGAAGCGAATGGCGGCGGAGTCCTCGCTAGAGGCACGTATTTGGCGCGTTCGCACAACAATGGCTGTCGCTACTCGGGAAAAGCTCGATGGATGAATTTTATCAAGAGGCATTAATCATAACATTACTCTTACGCCCCCTGGAATTAACGCGCCAGCGCAACCATAGAAAAAATACCACCAGAAGTAGCACACATCGAAAAACTCCAGGCTTGCTGGTACGGATTTGGAAGTTTTCAACGAGCCAAAATTCCACTGTCGAGGTTCTAGGCACGCGTTTTAGCACGAACGCGCTGCTGACGTGCTGAGGAAAGTGGACTTACACCGTGAAGGGGTGCACCATCCCGCGGGCTATGAGGCGTCCAATGCTTGCCCACTGGGACACCGAACTAGAGCCGGCAAAAAATGTGGTCGACAGCAGCACGGGTGGGATGAAGAACACCGAGAAATAGGGCACGTACAATGGAGTTGCGCCGAGGAAGAAATTTTCCGCAACGCCATCTTCGCGCAGAGGCTTGAATCGGTACCGATTGGCGAGAACGCCGCTGGTGAACATCCCCATTTGGTAATTTAGCATGTCATGTTTGGCCTTCGCCTCGAAAGCCAGTAGGATACTGAGGACAACTGGTTCATCGAACTTCGGCAGGTACGAGTAGTGCCTGTCCATGGTCAGCGGGTTGTACAGGATATCGGGGATGCCCAAAATGACTCGTACGTTCCGAAATCGCTCTTGTGCCGATTTGTCACCGCCCAGCCAGGGGAACACTCTCGAGCTAAGGGAGACGAACTTTCGGTGAATGCGTTTGGCAAGGGCCACGTCGTCCGTAGATACGTGCTTGTGGGCGAAGAGGGCTTGAAGGGCGAACGGCGCCACCTGCCGGATGTAGCTGGCGCACTTGCTCGTGGGCGATCGGCTCAAAAGCACGTACTCGAAGGACGAGGCTGAGAATAGGTACGAGTGCACCATCATCGTCAGCCAGTGGTACACCGGCTTGGTGTTGGCTTCGAACTCCTTCTTTAAGTTGCTCATAATGAGCAGTCCCCACATATTATGTAGGTTTATGAGGGATAGGTTCTCGTCGAAAGGCGTCAGGAGGTATTTATTGATGCTGGCCTTCCAAGTGGCCTTGTCGATGTTGGGTGTCTTATTTGCTATGGCGTCGAACACCCCAATCACTGGAGTCCGGTAAGAAGACGGTACTTGGTTGATCCATATGCGGAACAGCCTATCCACCTTTTGCACGTCAATCATGAAGGAAGCGTCTGCAAACGGGATTGCAACTCCCATAATGCTTTCCTCCGTCATGTCCTGGAGAGAAAGATACAAATTCAGGCACTCACTAGCTAGGTCGAGCATTCGTATAAACAGTGACAAAGTCATATGAACCCTCTGAAATGAGACCCTAAGGATTTATCTTATTCGGAGTAGTATACTGCGGCAAGTCATAACAACACCTAAATGGCCTTCACGCAAAGGCCCGGAAGATATCTAGGCACCCGGGCCTTGCCACGGATGATTGCCGCCTCATTCGTACGGCCAAAAATGACTGCTGACGTCCGCAGTTGGGCAAAGGTTTGTCGGCAGCGCCAGCATATTACAGTAAGGAGGCGTACCTTACATGCTTGAAGCCATTTGCATCCCCTGGTGCATAATCCGACCGCATGCCCAACGACATCGTGGGCGAGACTCCCATCGTATCGATGGAGCACATTTTAATGAGTGTATTCACCGGCACGTACGGTGGTTATCCCTGTTGAGCGAAAGAATATCATCAAGGACCTGGATTGCTCAATTCGGCAGCTCACCGTAACGACGTACATTGAACTCTTTTTGCTGCTTTTTGTTTGCTACTCCGACAGAGCCGCTCAGGACATCAGCTATTGGTGGAACGTTCACACCGGTAGCTCAAGGAGGTCATCTCGCACGGGCGGTGCCTTTATGTGATCTACGACTTGGCTCCTGTACTACTTGATTGATATTGGCTTCGCTTTTTAGCAAGCCCTAAATTGCACCTCCGACAAGTTGGCGTAGGCTACCTTGCATAGATATGTCGAAGACTTCTTCGAAGAAGTCAATGCATTTATACTTTATCACAAATGTACGCAGGAAAACATTGGGCAAATCCTCTAGCAGCTATACAATCAAAAATAGTTTGGCTGCCAGACTCCGCGGTATGTGTCAGCCAAGGCTTCACAACGTGCACACACGCTCTCTTGCGCAAGGAAGGTCTTAAAGGTTTGGCAAAAAAGAAGAGTTTGACGATAGACTGTTCTAAGTTTATGATCTATGCGGCAGAAACTCAGCGAGAGGACAAGGCGAGAGCGCGCGGGGACGTCAAAACGTCGAGCTCTGGTTGGAATGATTAGTGGGTAAACGTAAAGCTATCTAGCTGCGTTTATCTCCACTGCATTTGCCCAACGCGTTGGAACGCGAAAGCCAAACGCCAGACGCCGGCGTTCCGCGCTCTAATGCGTTCGACGAGTGCAGAAAATGTACAAAGGATAACGATTGTTTGTAGAATACGAGTGGATATATAGGAGTAGGCTTTACGAGCGGTGTCACGCCGTGAGTTGCACGGTCGTTTCGGAGCTCGCCAGGATCGACTTTTCTGGAGCGCGCCTATTTTACCGGGCGATCAGGATCGAGACGGACGTCTTCCCCTCGTGGTTTTAGATCAGTTCCCACTCCAGATTTCGATTGGGATCCGAGAAAAGTACCTTCGCCCATATCGGTGGATTCGACCAGAGGCCAGCCTGGCCAGCCTCTCTATGCCTTTACACGCTTGGATACCGATCAAGAATCGACGCCGCGGCAAAGTATTGAAGGCGTGTCCCGCGTAGGTGTTTTTGCGTCATATATCGGCCAAGGAGTTCTGGGTCATCCGGATATTCCGGCGAGTTGCAATCAATAAAAAGGGGAAAATCTGTACCGTTGCTCTTATACATTATTAACCATGGCCATGTTCCAAATCTACTAAATATCGCAGAACAAATGGAGCAACACTGTGGAGCAAGGAAGATTTTCGTAGGCAAACGTGCAAGGCGGTGAGATTGAAACTATTTGAAATGCGGCCCATAGGATCGTGTGCAATCTGTTGTCAAACCACAATTCCTGAAGGGTCCAAATCAAATCGCCCCCTTTGAATATTGGAGCCAGGGTGTCGGAAGTATTTGGTAGGAAAGGCGGGGGGCGGAGTGCACAGAATATAAACGTATTTGTTCAACTGAACTGATTATCATAAGCGCCTAGCAAACAAAGCAAATAAGAAAACGCGCCGCAACCGCCGCACCCCTCCCCCCCCCTTTTTTTTTTTTTTTTGTTCCGTCACCCCTTTGCACTGGATCAAGCTCGTTCCTAGACCGCGAGTGCCGCAAGTTGCACATACAGTCATCGGGGTAAAGTAACACGCTGCTCCAGAGGCACATACACTTTCACGTACATGGCACACGCAAAACAGATCCACACGGCGTCGATTCTTGAACGGAATACAAGCGTACAAAGGCACAAAGAAGCAACACATCGGGGTGCCAAGGAAGCTTTCATCACGCCGCGAGTTTGGCGAAATTTGCCTTCGACGAGTTGTGCCCTTTTCCTGCGGCGCTGCACTTTCGTATAAATTTCCACGTGTTTTCAAGGGCAAGTATCACCGCTTTCACAAGGGTTTAAGAAATTTCTTCGGCGAATAACGACGAACGAGTAGAAAACGTCTTTAGCATGCTGCCGCCAGCCTCTGCAACGCTCGCAAAAACGCGAATTCGCTGCATGCAAGATGGCCGTCCGGTGGCCGCGCTCAAGCTGCAGCGACCAAGCGAGGATGCGCGATCCAGCAAATTATCACAGAGATCAGTGCCGAATACCATGACTCTTGACTTCTACAGTCGAGCAGCTAGGGGCCACCACAAAGGACCGTGTCAAATCAGCCTTCGTGGATTATGATTCCTTAGGTATTCAACAAGCAGTCGTCCGCACGGCAATCACTTCGCCAATCTTTAAGAAAAGACTGTCTCACGGGACACGTGACTTTGCGTTCTCTTCCTCCTCAGCGACTCGTGAGTCGCAAAGGAGGCGGGAGAGGTGGCGCCACTCCCTTTTCAGACGGCAAACGCAGTTCGAGCTTTCGCCGCTAGGGTGTCCGCACTCGGAGAACGCTTCTTAAACAAAATTCATAAACTACCGCTCTTTCAAACCAGAATATACGTTCGCCTTTTTTCTACATTATAAAATATGGCCTTATCAAGCGGCAACAGCGAGTTCGAGTTGTCATCAGAAGGGAGCGAGTGCGGTCGCACATATGGTGGGAGAGATTACAGGATGCTTGCGACAAAATGGGAAGCGCATACACACACAGCGAAAAAGTACACCCCTGGACGTGTAAACCGTTGTCCCAGGGCGGACTCCCCAAATGGTGTTCGTTTTACACGCGAGGCTCGGTGTATTTCGTTTGCACCCGAGGTCTCGTGTAAAATGAACATCTTTGAACGTGTACTTCGTTCTGCGATCACACGTCTAGGGGTGTTTTTTTACAATGGCGGCCGTTTGACGCAAGACGGGTTCGACGAGCGAGGCCCAGCGCTTTACACGGCTTTTCGCCGCAGCGAAAGCGTAGTTTGCACGTGTTCGTTCGTAATCGTCCATACGTGCTGAACTACCGCAAGCATTCACCCCTAAGCGCCGACGCCGTATCCATTTACGGCGATTACGCGACAGTGGGAGCGACCATCGACTGCATCCAGCAGCGTGCTTCCCCACCGAGCAGGTCTCGTTCGCGTGGCGGTTCAGCCGATCGCCGAGGCCTCAAGCCGGTTGCATTGTCACCGACGCCGGGTAATTTCCACAGCAGTTATCTTTTCGCGACCACAGACATGAACTTTATTGAAAAAGCCCGTTTGCCGCGAGCGACGACGAATAGCTCCGACACCGACCCGACCCGACCCTACCCGACCGGCGTTACCGACGTCCCGCTCACCTCTTTACCGCGAGCAAAGTTGTACGCGACGTTTCGACGTATCCACTCATATCTCGTGTGTACGCAAATTTTGCGGCTTTCCGGGTACGAATCGGCTACCGAAACGGCCAACGAACGAAGACGAACTGAACGCCGGCGCTATGCGCCATTTAAACACGCGGTTACTTTTCTACTAGACTGTAGCTATGTGGTGTGGTTCCTTACACATAAATGGACTACGTACAAACAAAGATAAAATGAAATTGGGCGGCTGCTTGCGCCACCTAGTGAGTATGCGGAAAACTACAAAAAATGAAGGACATTTCGGCATTTGTGGAAGTGACACGCTTGAACACGGACGGCAGCATACCAACACATACATCACAGCACATACCACAAGATCAACATACAAGCATCTACATACACAAACAACGACAGAGGCACTAACAACCCGACACTCCTACTCAATTGTAATAGAAACCCGCTCGGTATATATAGCAGACTTTTTGTTTCAGACGAAGGTCCGGTGACACCCCCCGTATTTTATATGAACGTAACGATATTACACAATTATTACTTATATAGTACGACGACATAAATATAATTTGGGAAGGTACACATTTCTCTTAGTCTAGATTATAGCTAAAAGACACCCTATATTTAAAAAAAAATGTTTCGAGCTAGCCAAAATGTAGCAAAATCTGGTTTCGTTTTCGGAAGTTCGAGCGCTCAAGGCTGGAATGCGCTAGCAAAGTGTGTGCTTGCTTCTGTCAAACTATAATCCATTGTATGACGCTCTCAAAGCTGCTGGCTGCAGCCCCCGTCTTGGTTTAGGGTTTGATTTACACGCGCTCCCGTGGAAATGAAATTATGCGCGCTCGAGTCGATAGTATTGACAGCGTGAAGTATAAACCTAATGTAAACGATTTTGCGAGCGACGAGAACAGCGACGGCGACCCGCTTCGCTGACGCTCGGTCACGATCGCGCGACGACGCAAGCCGCATGAAAGCGGAACGATGTTTTCTAGAAATCCAAAAACCGAGTGACGCGACGAGCGATAGTAAGAAATCTTCGTAATACGTCGCTGATTCGTCGCTGTCGCCGTCGCTCGCTAAATCGCTTTATGCAGTTCAGCCTTTATACTCACGCTAGTGCCGACCTGCATTACCCGCTGAGCCCAAGCAAGCGATAAGGATATTCAAATATGTCACAACAGTGGCGTGCATTCGCTAAGAAAACATATATCTCAAATTCCTGCAGTTTGACGTCGGGATCCGTTACTTGTTCTGCTGTCACCTTGGCGAAACGGTCACTAAAGAGAAACTAGTCAGTTTGTTTTATCAGAAATTATAAAAACCTTAT